AATTCGTCCCAGCGGGAGCCTCGCCTAAGGTTGAGAAGGCCTTGAAGATCAAGGGTCACAAGGACCAACAGCGTAACCGTGGCTTCGACATCGCCCAGTGTGTCGCCGATGTCACGAACGCGGCTTCCTACATCGTCCGTGCTATCCTTCAGGTTCGCAGCGCGGCGAGCGCCTGTCCGGAACCAAAGGCCTGCGCGATCAACATTATGAACATCATCTCATCCTATGCTTGGATCTCGCAGTTCACGGCCCTGGCGGTCTCGGACTGCCAGGTGGCCGCAGACCAGAAGGCGCGGCATGTTTGGGGTGGCCATGTGGTGAGGGAGGGTGAGAGGGAGGGATGGCTGGAGGGAGGGAGAGAGCTAGAAAGATAGTTGAGCCCACGACCTTATAGTAAAGCTTCATCTAGCCTCTAGACCCTTGACCGTGAGTGACCTCGCGAGTGCCACTGTGATACCAGTAGCGCTACCCCATAGTTGTGCGACAGCAGCCGCATTTTGCACGCTACTCTGGACGGATGTTACATCATCGATTGCGCAATGTCGTTGCAGAGCTCTTCAAATCTTGACACCGATGTCGAACGATGATCGGAAGTCCGCCAGCCCTGCCCTAAACACCAAGTCCGGCACCCCGAACCCACCGAACAAACCCTCAACTCTCAACCTAAAAAGCATCCTGAGTCCGGTAGGTAAGGTAACCTTCAACCTTTTTTCTAGATTTTTTATAATCCCTAGAGAATCCCAAAGTTTAAGCGCTCCCCCGAAGATACTGGACAACTAAGCATCCAGAGGCACTCTGTGCGGCGGACATCTCCGACATGGTCGCCGCCCTTTGGCCTTTCTGGGCTATAGATGGGAGTTTCAGAAAATAGGGGACCCTGATATAGGACCCTAAATAGTAGGATCCTTACTGTAAAGACCCCTAAATAGGGTACCCTAGTTTTCTGAAACTACCAGATCATCCCACCGAAGATCCAAAACGCCCTTAAATCCTCAAAAGCATTACAATAAGCCCTACCCTCAACACTTACCCTAAACCCTAAACCCTAAACGGTTTGCTGTTCGGGGGCAAAATCTCAGGCCCTGACCAACGGCCCTGCAGCCGGGATCGCCTCCACGTCGGATTGCGCGGATGTGTGAGGAGATATAGGAGTTTGATAGGGTTGTTTAGGGTTTAGGGGTTTAGGGTTTGTTGCAGAGATTTCTTCGAATAGGTATTGATGTTCCGATGTGCCTAGAACATAGAAAATAGGGATGGGGGGTATTTCATGACAGTAGGGCTTCTATAGTACAGTGAGTACAGTCTTTCACTATGATAACAAAAGGGTTCCGATATGAGTTGCCATGACTGTATGTGCAAACCCCCATAAAAAAGGTACTTAGGACCCTGTAGGCTTGCGAATGGACTAGGTGTAAAATGCGAGAATGTACCGAGCCTGGACAACAGCTATCCAGGAGCCCTTTCCTTCGTGCAACGGTTTTGTCAAGTGCTTCGGTTTGGAAGAACTGACTGAAGGTAAGGTGTACTGCAGGGTTTAAGATTCGAGACCCTAAACCCTATAGGCAACAAAATCCTCAACCATCCTCAACCGTAAGCCCGACTGCAACCTCCGGGGGTTCCACCAAACCGTTGCACAACCAATGCATCGGAAAGTGCACACTCTATCTTGCCGACCCCAGGTGTTGTCGATAATCAGTCTAGTAATGGCTCTTTGGGGGTTCATGGTTTAGGGGTTTAGGGTTTAGGGTTTAAGGTTTAGGGTTTAGGGATTAAGGTTTAGTGCTTAGGGTATAGGGCTGAAGGGGTGAGTGTGTGCCGTTCGATCGAGGGCGAAGTTGCTCTGGAGGAAGTCGTATCCAGTGGCGACATGTGGCATCAAGAGTGCACGTTTTAGCATATGTGTCCCCTGTAGTAGTACTTCATGCAGTGTTACTTGTCTCAAGTACGGCTGTAGACAACAATGCCACCGACCCTCACATGTGTATATTGAGCCGTGAAGAGGCTTTGACTTGTCGTATGCATGTTGCGAAGTATCAGCATGCAATGGCAGAGCGAAAAGAGATTGTGCGGGACTGGACAATGTTATCCCAGTCGCGCTGACAATTCGATTTCTTGCCGTTTCTCAGAAGTCCTAAAGCTTGCCAGCCGACAGCGCAAATCGCACGTCACAGAGGTTGAAGCCGCTAGCACCACATAATTTCGTTCCGGAACTCCATCCCATGCCGCAGACCCCCTGCCGAGGTTTATCACGAACCCCTAAGCCCAGTACCCTCGACATTCCTCGACTAATATAGGGGCCTAAATCATTACCAATACTATTTTGGGGGTTCGTTATTATATAGTTATAGTAAAATGGCCCCAAAACCCACTATTCTTATAAAGGCCCTGCATTACATCGACAGCATGGCCCAGTCCTATAGGGGTCGCCTCTGCAATGGAGACTGATCGCTTCTTGCGGATCGAGACGCCGCGCAAGTCGCGCTCCCGTTGGTACTTCGCTGGTGCGGCTGTGGCTCTTCTCCTCGTCGCCGGCGTGGTAGCTAAGACGGCTCCGGAAACCCTGCATATCTCCTCCCCGAAGAACATCATCTTCGATACTGAGGTGTCCCACTGGGAGGACATTCCGGGCATTGACAAGGTGATCCGCAAGGCCCAAAGCCTTAGGCATGACAAGCCACTGCGGAACTTGCAGGATTTGTTCTATGATTCGCAGCCAGAGGAAGTGCCCTTTATTCGCACGGAATGCGTCATTGACGTCGTCCAGGCTGCTGCATACCTCGACCAGGC